CTTTTACCTCCTAAATCAGAGATTCTGAATCTTTGGTTTTGTCTCCACACTGTTCACATGCACGGAATACTTCCATTGTCTATCCATCCATTAGCCATCGGTGCAGCAAGTATTAGTTGTTTTCAATGTCTCATGCACTAGGAATATAGCCGAGAACAAGACAATCATGGTCTTTGTTTGCATGGAGCTTAGAGTCTACTGGGGGACATTAAAGAAAAATAAATTAATGAGATAGTTACACATTGAGATCTTTTCATTATGCAGATCTAGCTCTGTCCCTCCCTGTGTAAAAAGCTTCAGTGGCTTTGTATCACTTCCGAATAAAGTGTAAGGCCCTTTTACATGACATGTGAGGCTCTGGAATCTGGCCTCTGCCTGCCTTTCTAAGCTCATCTCTCCTCCCTCCCTGCTTCCATTTTATTGTCATTTAACACTGAACTGTATGTGGTTCCCTGTACTTTTCTCATTTGCCTTTGTACCCCTGCAAATGCTGCCCTTCTACCTGAAATGTTCTTCTTATTTGCCTGCTTAACTAATTTTCATCCTTTAAAAGCAGCTAATGTTACCACTTTGTCTGAGGAGCATTCCCTGATACTCCACCTTTACCCCCTAAGTTTAGTTAGATACCTTCCTTTAGTACTCTCATGATGTCCTGTCCTCATTTTTTATCCCTGGACTTGGGTATTATCTTACAGTTGCCTGTGTCTGCATCTTCATTATATTGGGAGCTTCTTAAGGATAGGATATTTTTATTCTTATATCTTAGAACAGTGCTTGGCACATGATTGTTATGTCGTCATTTACATCAAACAAATGAGCTACTGACTTGCTAGCAGTCCATTATCTTATTAGACTAAACACAAGTCTAAGGCAGTATAGTAGAGATGAAGAAAAGAAGCTAGTTTCAAGAAATCTTTATAAGGTAGAATCAAAATTGAGTAGCAGATTAGATATGGGAAGAAAGTTTCTAAGCTAGGGAAGCTAACTGCTGGTCATGTCATTACATGAGATAGGTATTCCAAGGGGGGAAACAGGTAAGGAGTCATGATGAACTCAGTTTGGGGTATGGTAGGTTTATTTATTTTATAAAAAGATTTTATTCATTTGAGACAGAGAGATAGAGAGAGCACGAGCAGGGGGAGAGGCAGAGGGAGAGGGAGAAGCAGACTACCCACTGAGTCGGAAGCTTGATGTGGGGCTCGATCCCAGGACCCCGAGACCTTGACCTGAGCCAAAGGCAGACACTTAACCATCTGAGCCACGCAGGTGCCCCAGGGGTATGCTAGGTTTAAAAAGGGTTTGGAGTCTATCCAAAAACACATTGAGAAACACAGAAAGAAACAGATAAGACACAGTTAAAAATATGGATACAGAGCTTGGGATTGGTCAGAACACAGAACCATAGATTTGGAGTTATCTATCTGTTAATGTATTTGAAACTATTGGAGTGGATTTTTACCCAAGAAAAATGAATGATAAGCATTTTGGAATCGTTTTATTGAAGAGGTGACATTTGAACTAATGTGTTTTAAAAAGCATAGAAGGGCATAGTGAACAGAGAAAATTATTTTGTTTCCTTCAATGATTGGGGATCTTCTAATTTTCTTAATGTATTTTTTCTTTTATTATTTCATATGATTGCTGCATTTCTTGTCATACAGTTAGTTGGGATAGTCTGAAAATCATAGACATTGGATACTTGTTATAATGTTATATTTCTTTTCTGGGCCAAATTCCAGATAAAGAGTTTTCATCTTGCTGAGCATTTTCTTCCTTATCATTTTGCTGTATATGTCCTCATGTCATTGAACCAAGAATTGAATAACTTGTGATTTTTGATTTGGAAAACTCACCTCTAGAAATGTTCTGTCTGGCCTCAGTGATTCTTATGATCAGCCTGGTCCTTGGGTCTCTGTAATTGAGAACTATATCGTGTTCCTCCTCAGTTTACTATTTATGAAGCTCAGCAAGGCCCTCAACTAAATCCAGAATATTGTTAATCTTTAATGGCTTCCTCAGGTTTATGTGGAAGGGTGTTTTAATGTCTCTGGCAGTACTGTTTCATTGTGCTGTTTTCCATTACTTAAGTGTCATCTAATTTTTTATATTAATCTTTTAATACAAAGTCTAAGTCTCGGTCCCAAATTAATATTCCTTTCTTCATTTTTCTCCTAATTAGGCCTAATATATGATAGTAAGTCAAGTATCTGGGGGGAAAACAAACCTTATTCCTTGCTTAAACATGTGTTGGTTTGAACAGCCTTGCTCAGGCCTAGAGCCTTAGTACTTCAGAGTGAGACTAGCAGGTGAGTTGTTACCATCATCTACCAGATTGGGCATATGTGACCATCACATCAATTTCTGCAGAAATCACCTTTTTTTTTTTTTTTTTGTAGCAATAGCTCTTGACTTTTCTCTACCTAGCACAGCCTAAAACTACAACAGTAACAGTGGCATGCTCGACAATGATTTTTCTCTGGGATTTGGGAGTTTATCAGAATCTCCAGGGGTACTTAAAATTTGAAAAAGTCCCCCAGGTGTGATTCTGATTTGCTCCCTCTTCCTCCTCCTCCTTCTACTCCTCCTCCTCCTCTGAGAATCACTGTTTCATCTAGAAGCTTCAGCATAAGTAGGCACATTTATTGGTATATTGACCTATATACTCCGTAATCCTCCTACACCCTTACCTCCCTTTTGAGTGGTACCAGTAGTTTTTTCTAATACCATAACTTCTGAAACCAGTTTCTACCTGTCACCAAGGGTGTAGCTACCACCAAAGCAGCCCTGTTAGTGTTTGGAAGCCTACAAAACAAGGTCTCCAGTAGCTTGAGGGCCAGGTTTAATGGTGTGGTTTATTTAAATGGGAGTCCTTTGCGAAGACTTAGACTAAGAGTCCAGGATTTATACTAACACCACTCCCCCCCACCACCAATTTTATTCCAACATTTTATGATGAAAATTTCAAATCTACACCAATGTTGAAAGAATTCCGGGATGAATTTTTGTATATCCACAACCCAGATTCTACAATTAACATCTTAATATATTGCTTGCTTAATCATGTTTCTACCCTATTTATTCCTCTATTCATCTGTTCACCTTTCTTAAGAATTTCGCAGTAAATTCCAGATATCAATACAATTTCCCCTAAATACCTTGGCATTCCTATCATTAAGAGTTTAATATTTATTTATAGCCTTTCCTTTTGAAGTAAAATTTACATAGTGAAGTGCCCAAATCTTAAGTGCTCAGTAGCTGAGTTTTGATAAATGATAAATCTGAATAACCCAAATCCCTATCAAGATATAGATTATAACACCCTCTTTTTTCTGCCCAGATTATTCCCTCTTGACTTCTATAGTTTCTGACTTAAAGGTAAGAAAAAGGCTTGTCAGTGTTTCCAGGACAAATAGGGATCAGTGTTTAATGATGGATCAGCAGATTTCTCTTCTCCATTGCCTAAAGTACCTTGTGTTTTAAATTGTATGTGAATGTATTAAAACAGGATACTGAGTAAGTAACTTATCTTTTCAGTTTTTAAATAATTATTTTGGAAAATACTATAGGTATAAATACCTTATATCTGTTCAGTTAAGTATTTTATAAGGCAAAAGCTCTAGTTTAATGAAATGTGAGGACATACGCATAGAAACAACTGGGGAAGAGAAAGGAATTGGAGGTGAGATGGGAAAGAAATCACATAAATAAATGTAATATAGCATGTATTAATATGTGGCTAATTGATTAAAATATGTATTATGTATATCTAACATCATGAGGTATCTATCACAGTCCTGACAACAGTGGCATGTCATTTATTCAAGAATAAACATATCATAATCTGCCTTTAGGAAATACACATTAAATTTCCCTTACTGTCAGTCTTGGGTGTTCATCATTTTGTTTTATGCCTGGTAAATATCTCTTAATTGGCTTATTTTTAGAGTGATGTAGCATATTTTAATTTATATCCGTATATTTAAAATATGGTATAAGTTTGAAATTATTTACTTGCATTTTATGAGGAGTAACATACAAATGTATTTCTAATAAAATAATTCTGATCCCAAAAGGAGAAGCTGTGACAAAAGTAAATTGTGATATTTTCATAATAAAAAGCCATGCAGCCATTTGCATATCATTCCTGAGATATTACATACTGGCTTTGTCAGTACTGGTAAGTCCATTTCAAGGATGTTGCCCTTAGTCCATTAGTTTGGATAATGAGCCTATAAAGTACATTTATAACTTGTGGCACTGCAAGGAGATGGATTCTAATTTTCATCCTTTTATCTAGACACATTGAAAGAAGGTCAATGGAGGGTTCTGTATGAATCATTGTCCCAACACATATCACGTGACAGAGACCTGATAATGTCCATGCATAAGTGTTTTCCTTATTTAGAAATAGCACTTGAAAGAAATCTTTTTTTGATCATTCTTTGAAGTAAAGTAGAAACATTAAAAGAAGCTTTATCCCTCTTTTTTTGTTTGTTTAAAGCGTTATCACATGTGTGACCAGATAGCTATTCTTGAACAAAAGAGAAAGCAACACTTAACAAAAATAAAAAGGCTTTAGTGACTTTTACAGACTGTGAATGATATAACAAGATATTTAATCAACTTTTCTCTCCTTTTCTTAGATCTGTTAAGGGGACAAAAGGCTTTTCTAAACAAAAGAAAAGCTTCTTATATTCCTAAACATTAGAAAGCTTATGCTTATACTGTAATACTTACACTAACATTATTCTTATTAATGGTATTCAAAATAAATATTTAAATTCTATTCTATGTTTATAGTTTAAAGATTTCAAAGAAGCAACAAGAATATATATTCTGTAATTTAGTGTCAGTTTTATGTCAAAATGTGAAATTGTATACTATTTTAAATTGTCTTCTAAGAAATTGGTTTCAGATTCAGAATTGTAGCTGATTATGTTTATTTTTCAGTTGTGTAATCATTAATGAGAACTTTTTTGCTATGTTTATTTTCTTTGTAGATGTAAAGCAATCATAGATCAGTTTGGTCAGAGAATAATCTCTAAGCATTTCCTTGTGGAGGACAGTTACTTTTCTGAGAACACATGCTCACATGTACAATACCGGTAAGGCACCCCTCCACCCACTGTCCAGGGGAAGGTGAAACATTGGAAAATTTATCTGTGTGATTATATTGATACTCCTCTATGACTGTGTTCTTCAAGTTAGATGCAAATGTGTACCAAACCAAAGATAGATCCAATATATCCACTGAGTCTGGTTGTAGGGGAGTCCAGTCTAATTTTGACTCCTTTGTATCACCTGGGGTTGGTCTGCACGTCACATATCCTCCTTTCCTTTTTTTTAATTAAGATTTTATTTATTTATTTGAGAGAGAGAAAGAGCACGAGCGGGGTGGGGGCAGAGGGAGAGGGAGAAGCAGACTCCCCGCCGTGTAGGGAGCCCCGTGCAAGATCATGACCTGAGCTGAAGGCAGACTCTTAACCAACTGAGCCACCTAGATGCCCCCACAATATTCTCCCTTCAGTGAGCCAAGAATAGATTAAAGCAGAGTTTGACTTGGCTTGAGGAGGCAACACTTTTATCATGACTTAAATCTTTGAAATATGGTAGTTATATAACTATAAATGAAACTTATTTGTGGAATCTGAATCACTGATTAACTGTTCTGTGCATTACAGGCAGATCTCCAGGTCAGTCCTGATTACAGATAGATCTGTACTAAAAATGGATTCAGATCAACAGGTAATTTTAGTCCTGTACTTTTTAATAAATGTTGCTAACCTAATCTACATGGTATTATGTATAAATTAATATTGGTGAAATAAAATGTATTAAGCCATATGTGCTAATGTATTTAATGCATTTTTTAAAAAATACATAATGTCAGTTCTGTAATAATTTTGGTTTCTTAAAGATTTCCTTCCAGCAGGACAAATAATTACATCTTATATAATATTTTTATTCTATGGAAATTGGACTAAATCCTAATTTTTGAGTTATTCTATGTAATTGAAAATATATTGTTATGGGGAAAAAAAGAGAATCCCCAGGGAATACATTTAAAACTCTTGAAGGAAAGGCTTTATGGTAACCAACCCTAGAACAGTGGTGGTAAGCTTACCATTAGGCCTGGTGTGAATGAGTACCGCACACATTTCTGGTTCTAATGTTTCCTCATCACCATTGTTCCTTTCAGTACTCTCTTCCTTCTCCTCACTGCCAATTCTATAGGAATGTCTTTATGCCTATGGTTTTTCCTCAGTCTGAACTCTTAAATTCCAAGAAGTATGCCCCTTCTTCTGATTACACAGTGACTGATAAAATCAGTTTACTTAGTATGACTCTCAGACCTTTTCTATATGCTACTGCTAAAAATAGGTTCCAAACATTCCTTAAGTTAGAAGCTTTCTGATATATAAAACAAATGTTTGCTATGCATATGAGCATAAATACTTTAATTAATAAATACTGAATGATTATTCAGTAAACAATGAGTGTCTTTTACATGCCATCCAGTGTGCTGAGATCTGAAGACAGTGCTAACCATGATAGCATCTCTGCCCTTATAGCTTGCAGTCTGGAAGATACAGATATAGACAGATAAATAGTAGCTATTTAAGTTAAGCATGGCAAGTGTGAGCAAGGACTGGTATAGCAGCTATTGTAATGCTCATCACACTGTCCTATAATTACCAGTTAACTTGTCTGTATCTTCCAGTAAACTATAAGCTTTGTGAGTATGTTGAAGAATGACAGGGAGGCATTAAAGTGAAGAGAGAAAATAGAGACAATTCTGTAGAAGCTGAGCTGCAAAGAGTAGGAAAGAGGAAGTGATTCCTGAAGAGATGTGGAAGTGAAGAGGGCTTTTCTTTTCTTTAAAAGATTGTGTATATTTCAGCTGATGCTGGAGATAGTAGAGAGGGAAGGAAAGGTTGAAGATATGCTGGAGAAAAGGAAGACAATGCAGCAAGGTCCAGGTAAAGGCTGGGGAGGATGGGATTCAGAGAACAGGTAAAAAGCATTGCCCTTAGATGGGATGTGAGGCATCTTGAAATAAGAGGGTGAATGCAGGACTGTTTGTAGGTCTCGGGAGTTCCCATCTGATAGGATCCATTCACTTTTTTTTTTTTAAGATTTTATTTATTTATTTGAGAGTGAGCGAGAGAGAGAGCACGAGCAGGGGAGGGGCAGAGGGAGAGGGAGAAGCAGACTACCTGCTGAGCAGGGAGCCTGACTCAGGGCTCCGTCCCAAGACCCTGGGATTAGGACCCGAGCCAAAGGCAGACACTTAACTGACTGAGCCACCCTGGAGCCCCTCCATTTACTCTTTAAATTACAAAGTGAGGTCATCTCCTGACAGTGAGGGTATAAGAGTGCTTAACAGGTCACAGCTCAAGGAAGGATATACAGTAATAACTGTGAGGAGTTGGAGAATGACCTATCTCATGGTCAGATGGCTGCACAGCATCAGTGGCCCAGTTGAGTCTGGAGGTTATGGGTATACAGTAGCATTAATCTGCCCCTATCCTTTCAGCTCTTCCATTCTCTTACCCTCACCCAGTCTGCTCATTGATCTGTTAAGAGACCTACAGTTCCTTGTCCCCTCTTTCTCCTCCCAGTTTACCAGCTTCCTTCTGCCCTCTTCCTTTTCCATGTCCTAGACCCCATGGTTTATCTTCTGAACTGCCCTTCCCCCAATACCTTCAATTCCCATGTAGCCACGCTCTACTGCACCCACAGAGGAAAATCCTGTACCTGGATGAGGCTATAATCTACATCTGGATTACAGAGGGATACTTGAGAAAACCACACAACCAGACAGATTGGCACAGCCACAGAGCTGGAGTTGCCAACCTCATTCATCTGGACCCTCTGCCTACTACCAGTTAGTTTTTCCACTGGCCTCAGATAGCTCCCTCTCCCTTTCCCCTCATTGCCTCATCCAAATCTTTACTATTTTACCCACCCTTCTCTCTGTTAGCTCTTTCACCTCACCCCCTGCTTCACCAAGAAAAGCAAGGCCACCTACTAAGCACAGTGACCCTGGAGCCCCTACCCCAGCACTCACAACTAATGCACAAGTACAGAGACTAATGAGGGGGCTCCCCTCCTTGTCCAAGGCCAGCAGCCCTTTTCACAAATGCTATTGGCTCTCGTGCACGTACGTATGTACGTACGTACACACACACACACACACCCCACCCACCCACCCACCCTGTATGCTTGCTCTCTCTCCTCTGTCTTCAGGCTTTCCCTGCTATTGGCACCTTCCCCTCAAACCTATACACATGTACTAGCATTTTCTGTTCCAAAACTAAAAAAGACAAAAACAAGAAACAAAAAAAATTATCCTTTGACTTTGCCCCCATCTCTAAATGTATCCCATCTCTCACCTGTTCTTGTCAGCATTTTTAAGACAGTATCTATACTTGCTGCCTCCATCCCCTTACCTCTCATTCATTTCTAGACCCAGCTTCTATCTCCACATTTCTACCACAATTTTTCTTGCTAAGTTTATTAATAACTTTATAATGGTCAGGACCACAGAACATTTTTTTGGTTTTTTTCTTTTTTGGTACATTTAGCAATGTTGATTATTCTCTTTTTTGACTTCCATGACACTGCTCTCCTGGTTCTCCTCATAACTCTGAATATTCCCTCTCTGCTTCTTTTGTGGGCTCTGTCCTCTTAAATGTTGGGGCTCCTCAGGGTTCTTGTTTCAGCCCACATTATCTCTTGTTCTGTGCACACTTGCTGCTTGATTCCATATACTCTCATGGTTCTAACTCTGCATAAATGTTGGTGACAGCCATTTCTATATCTCTCAGGAATGTTGGCCAAACTTCCTGCTGGACATCTATCTCAAAGGCCCCTCAAACTGAACATACTCTGAGCTGAACTCACCATCTTCCTTCTCAAAACTACTCATCCAGTGCTCCCTACCTTGATGAAAAGCATTGACATCCTTCCAACTAACAACAACTTCCTCCCATCTCTGGTATCTCCTGAGCCTCCAGGTCCTCTCATTGTACTTTCTAGAAGTTGCTACAATCTGCTTTTCCTTTTAGTCCTTATTCTCACTGCTCTGGTTTTGGACCTCATTTCTGCCTTCTAACTTGTTCTGCCTTTCATCTTGTCTCCTTCAGATCCATCCTCCACAGAGCTATCAGAGTGATCAGTCTAAAATATACATTTGGTATGCTTTTCTTTGTTTCCTGCATGGGTTTTTCCTCTTTTTAAATTTTTGAAGCATATATAATGAGACTTAAAAAGAGGAAAGAATAGGTATAAGTTTAGATAAATTTTATGAAAGTGGTATTAGAGGATTGAGGAAATTCCCTTTTGATGGCTTTTATTAATCTCTATGAGATTTAAGACAGTACCTTCTCAGTTCAGGACACAGAAGGTACTGGGGTAGGGGATTACTGACTATATTTAAATTTTTAAAAATTAGACATGATGGTTGTAGGAAACAAAAGAAATACAGGCATACCTCAGAGATATTGTGAGTAGTTCCAGACTACCGCAGTAAAGCGAATGTCACAGTAAAGCAAGTCAAATGATTTTTTTGGTTTCCCAGTGCATATAAAAGTTATGTTTACACTACACTGTAGTTTATTAAGTATGCAGTATAGCATTATGTATAAAAAAATGTACTTACCTTAATTAAATGCTTTATTTCTAAACACTGCTAACCATCTTCTGAGCTTTCAATGAATTCTAATCTTTTCTGCTCATGGAGGGTCTTTCCTTGATGTTGATGGCTGCTGACTGATCAGGGTGGTGGTTATTAAAGGTTTGGGTGACTATGACAATTTCTTAAAATAAGACAATAATCTTTTCTGCATCATTTAACTCTTCTTTCATGAGTGGTTTCTCTGGCATACAATGCTTTTGGATGGCATTTTACCCACAGGAGAAATTCTTTGAAAATTGGGAGTCAGTCCCATCAAAATCTGTTTTGTTTTATCAACTAAGTTTATGTCATATCTAAATTCTTGGTTGTCATTTCAACAATCTTCACAGCATCATTGTCAGAAGTAGATTCCATCTCAAGAAACACTTTTCTTTGCTCATCCATGAGAAGCAACTCCTCATTTATTAAAGTTTTATCATGAGATTGCAGCCATGTAGTCCTTTCTTCAAGCTTCACTTCTAATTCTAGTTGTCTTGCTATTTCCACCACATCTGCAGTTACTTCCTCCACTTAAGTCTTGAACCCGTCAAGGTCATTCCTGAGGGTTGGAACCAACTTCCTCCAAACTATTAATTTTGATATTACCTCTTCCCATTAATCATGAGTGTTCTCAATGGCATCTAGAATGGTGCATTCTTTGCAGAGGGTTTTCCAGTTACTTTGCCCAGATCCATCAGAGGAATCACAGTCTATGGCAAAGTCAAAATTACTCCTAGATCCATAAACTGCAGAAAGTATGTTGTGTTATCAGGCATGAGAACAACATTAATCTTGTACATCTTCATCAGAACTCTTGAGTGACCAGGTTCACTGTCAATGAGCATTCATATTTTAAAAGCAATCTTTTCTGAGCAGTAGGTCTCAACAGTGGGCTTAAAATACTCAGTAAACCATGTTGTGTCATCCAGGCTTTATTCCTTTTACAGAGCACAGGGAGAGTAGATTTAACATAATTCTTAAAGGCCCTAGGATTATTGTAATGGTAAATGAGCATTGGCTTCAACTTAAAGTCACCAGCTACATTAGCCTTTAAAGTCAGCCTGTCCTTTGAAACTTTGAAGCCAGGTCTTGACTTCTCTCTCGCTATGAAAGCCCTAGATGACATCTTCCAATAGAAGACTGTTTAATCTACCTGGAAAATTTGTACTTTACTGTAGCCACCTTCATGAATTATCTTAGCTACATTTTCTGGATGACTTGTTGAAGCTTCTATATCAGTATTTGCTATTTCACCTTGCACTTCTTTATGGAGATGGCTTCTTTCCTTAAACCTTGTGAACCAACCCTGGCTAGGCTTCAAACTTTTCTGTAACTTTCTCACCTCTCTCAGCCTTCATAGAATTAAAAAGAGTTAGGGCCTTGCTCTGGATTAGGTTTTGGCTTAGGGAATGTTTTAGCTTTATCTGTTTTGATCCAGATCTGTTTGATCCAGACCACTGAAACTTTCTCCGTGTCAGCAATATGGCTGTTTCCCTTTCTTATCATTCTCATGTTCACTGGAGTAGCACTTTTAATTTCCTTCAAGAAATTTTCCTCTGCATTTACAACTTGGCTAACTGGCACAAGATGCCTGGCTTTTGGCCTGTCTCAGCTTTCAATGCGCCTTTCTCACTAAGCTTAATTTTTTCTAGCTTTTGATTTAGAATGAGAGAGGTGTGACTCTTCCTTTCATTTGAGCACTTAGAGGCCATTATAGTGTTATTAATTTGCCTAATTTCAATATCATTGTGTCTCAGGGAATAGTGAGGCCCAAGGAGAGGGTAGAGACTGGGGAATGGTTGGTTGGTGGAACAGTCAGAGCACACAAAACATTTATCAATTAAATTTGCTATTCTATATGGGCACAGTTCATGGAGCCCCTAAACAATTACAATAGTAACATCAAAGATCACTGATCCCAGATCACCATAACAAATATAATAATGAAAAAGTTTGAAATATTGTGAGAATTACCGAAATGTGACATAGAGACATGAAGTAAGCAAAATCCTGTTGGAAAAAAACAATAGACTTGCTCAATGCAAGGTTGCCACAAACCTTCATTTGTTAAAAAAAAAAAAAAAAAAATGTAGTATTTGCAAAGTGCAGTAGAGTGAAGTGCAATAAAATGTGGTATGCCTGCACTTCCATGTTGGTGCAGTCCCTAAGATACCTTTCTGGTTATGCACATGTTTTTAGTTATAATCATTTGATAATTATTGTACAACATTAGATACATGTTTTAGTGGTTCCTCTCTCTTTAAGGTACAACATTTTGTATCATGGATAGCCAGTAGCAAAAGGGAGTTAAGAGGAATATGGAGAACACAGTTTTTGAGACATATTAAACCCCAAAATGGACTTATGAGGAATATGATAGTAGAATAGTCAGGGTTATTAAAAGAATTTCTGTTTTGAAAACTTGTAGGCATTTCCTATGTGGACTATCAATATGACATCACCAGTCAAAATCTAGGCATTTAGTGCCTACAGATAAAAGTATAAATAGGGCCTTACCTTTTGGCAAGTATTTTATATATGAGAGGGTATAGTTTCCTCAGATTGAAGATTATTGAGAATTCATATTGAAACTTTTGGTTTTATAGAGAAACATTGACCTGATGGTCATTTAAAGTTGTAAGTATAAAGCCATGTAATATATTAGTAGTGCCTATAGCATATCAGCATACTGCATATCAATAAACATTACTTAAAAATAATTTTCCACTTTACTCTAAATTCTGGGTTTCTAATTTTATTAATGGAGTCCTTAAATTAATTTGAAGACCTTTATTTTGAAACATTTTGGTATATGTTCAGCTGTACTTTGGTATATGTTGACCAATTACTTTGCTTATTTCAATATCTTTGGGATTTGTAACATTTTTAAATTTTAGTACTCTATATCTGCTTTCAGCCATTATGAATAATCAAACTTGATTTAATATGATCTGTTTTCAAATAGTGAAGTGTATATAATTCAGAAATAATAAGTCATAATTGAATCCTTTGAAAATAAATGAAGAATTAAATATTAAAGATATTTGAAATATTCATTGTCTATGAATTATATGAATGCAATGTATATGATATATAAGTATATAAAGCAGAAATTTGATGTTCGGACACATGTTCATGTTCCATGTTTCAAATTCTGTTCTAAATTAAACCCTTACAAGTTAAATTTTTTCAAACATCAGTGGAGTTTGAGAAAAGACACTCAGTTTGAAGGTAAACTGCACTCTAATGATAGAAGAATGAAAATAAGATCTACCAGCTATGTCTAATATTTTGTTTCCACTTTTTAGATTTCCATTTTGACAGTGCCAGGAGAGGAACCAGGAACTTTTGCTGTTCGAGTCATTGAGTTGTGTCCTTCAACAATGACATGCATGAAAGGCACATGTAAGCACAGTAGAATCTAGTCATCTTGTGTACTTGTTGAGGAAGTAAAGGGGGGCAGCCATTGATAAAGTTGCCTGGGTTCTGTTTATAGTTTTGCCATATATTTTTTTATTCACACTATTTGTTCACACGCTTTATGTTCATACAGTAAGTCATTTTATACCTTCCCCTTGCTTCTAATCATGTTTGTGGCTAACTCTTCATAGGCACAATTTATAAACCCTCCAGTGAAAGAATTTCTGTGACTTTCCAGTTCTTTCTGTAATTTTACTTAAGCTTATTAGGAATATACTTTCACAAAATTTATTTTCTCTACTGCTAGTTTTCTTCTTTGCTTTTCCTTAGAATTCTTAATCCAGTTTATGAACTTCTACCATATGTAAATCCTGTTTTTTTATGAGTCTAAAGTTAGGTACTACTTTATGTTCTTTTACCAATATGTATCAAAATTTCTGTCTCTAACACCGTCAGATACCATGCTTGTAGAATATATTTCTTAAAGGTGTTTCACTGAGTAGAAATCAGCAAGGATACATTGGGTATCATTATGCCTAGACCTAAACTGTGTACTGTAGTGATTACAAAAAGCAGAGGGTGGCATGCCTGATTTGAAATGTTCATAATCTTATTGCACATCTAATAGAACAAGACAGTATTAACTGTGTGCAGTGTATTCTGCTAGACATTTCAGGATAGGTAAAGATCAGTATGACAGAGGCCTGACCTTAGGGGACTCAATCTACTGGGACAGATAAGACAAACACAAAAGTAGCTGTAAGAGCCAGAATATGAAAGTACCACAAGATCAGTACCAAAAAACAGTGGACTGTAGATTCATAGGAGGGCAGCAACAATGTCATTAGCTAGATTTTTAAAATTCTGTAAATTTATATTGTTTTATTCAAACTGTTACATGAATTAGAAGCAGAAGACTAATCTGGTTTGGCATGGTCAATGAAAACATGACTATGTCTTCAAGTGTAGAACTTCTACTTACTAAAAGATGTCAGAAATGTAGTTAAACAGAGAATTGGGAGCTTGTTGCCAGCAGGAAGAGTGAAGAAAACTTGTCCCTTATTGCTGTAATCCTAAATTTCAGTTTGAAAAGTAGCTCACTGATGGTTTTCTACCTTATATAGTGATTTGTGAATTAAGTAAATTTTTACCATGACAGTTACCATTATTTTTCCCTATTACCTTAACTGGTTTTTTTTCATGTTTTTTTATCTGTGTTAGTATCTTAGATATAAAATAAAACTACACTCATCTTTGGTTTTCTAAATTACATTTATTTTATGTTAGTGAATATTTTTGTAAACTTTTTTTATAAATTTATTTTATTTTATTTTTCTGTGTGAAATATTTTTGTATGCCCAGTCTAATAATACATACTCACTATTGACAGTTTGAAAGATATAGAAAAAGTAAAATTACTATAATCCTTCTACCCATAGATGATAAACACTTGGTGTGTGTTTCTTTATCTTGTTTTTTATATGTGTATATATATATATTTCCATAAATACGCAATACTATTTTATATATTGTTTTATAATCTGCTTTTTAAAGACAATACAACAAAAATCTTTCTGCATGTCGATATTTTCAGTGATTGTGGGTATACCATTTTTATTTAATCCCATGCTGTTGAGATAAAGAGTTTTGGAAATTTTTACTACACAGTCCTATAAAAAAAAGCTTAATAAATATTTGTGAAATTCCATTATTTTTTAAAAACTTCTTTGGAATTATTGGGTCAACGTGTATAGTTTTTTTTTTATTTGCAGTTATAGATTCATAGATATTTGCAGAGATAGTACAGAGAAGTCCCATGTACCCTTCACCCAGTTTCTTCCAGTAGTTATATTTTACCAAATTATAGTACAATGTCAAAACCAGGAGTTTGACATTGTTCTAATGTGCATATGTGATTTTATCACATGTATAGATTCTTACGACCATCACCACAAGGATCCCTTGTATTGCCCATTTATAGCCATAGCTATATCCCTCCCTCCCCACACTAGCTACCTAATCCCTGGCAGCCACTAATCTGTTTTCTATCTCAGTAATTTTGTTATTTTGACAATGTCATATAGAATGAATCTTATAATAGGTAATCTTTTTTTCTTTTTTAATTTTTTTCTTTTTTTATTTAAAACAGTAGGTAATCTTTTGAGTTTTTGTTGTTTTTTTCTCAGTATAATTAAGATTCACCCAACTTGTTGCATGTATCAATTGTACATTCCTGTTTATTGCTGAGTAGTAGTCCATGATAAGCTGTACTTCTTTCTGGCCTCCATGGTTTCTAATGAGAAGTCTTCTGTTTGAATTGTTTTCCCCTGTAGGTAATGTGCTCCCTTCCGCCCAGGTTGCTTTCAAGATTTTTCTTAGTCTTTAATTTTGAAGTTTTAATATGATGTGTCTTGACATAGATTTCTTTGGAATTATTCTATTTGACATTTATGTAGCCTCTTGAATTTGCAGGTTTATATCTTTTGCCAAATTCAGGAAATGTTCATCCTTTTTTTCTCTGAATACTTTTCAGCCTTATCCTCTTTCTCCTCTTCTGGGACTCATGTGACATGAATATTAGAACTTTCATTATGGTTCCACATGTCTCTGAAGCTCTGTTCCTTTTTTTAATTCAAAAGTATTTATTATATGCAAACAATGAGTCATGGAACACTACATCAAAAACTAATGGTGACTTACATAACATAATGAAAAAAATATTTATTATACCTATTAAGAGGAATACATCATGCTGGGGACAATGGATTAGGCAAAGGAATATAACCAAAGGAGTAACAATAATAAGCTAGTACAGAGAGCAAGAAGAGCCCAAACTATGTGTGTTTCTGCTCATTTTTATGAAGAGCCCAAACTACATGTGTTTCAGTTCATTTTTATATAGGCTATTTTCTTTCATTTCGTATTGTATCATTTCCATGGTTCTACTTTCAGGGTCACTGATTCTTCCCTTTCTCCATTCCATTCTGTTGAACCCATCTACTGAGGGTTTTTTAAAATTTAATTATTGTATTTTCCAGTTTAAAAATTTCCATTTGGTTGCCCTTTAAATCTCCTATGTGCTGAGGCTTTCTCTTTCTTTCTGGAGATTGTCATTTCATTTGTTTCCAGCGGGTTTATAATTGCTCACTAATGCATTTTTATGATGGCTCCATTAAATCTTAACTCCAACAGCTGTGTCATGTTGGCATATGTTGATTGTCTTTTTTCAGTCAAGTTGAGGTTTTCCTATTTCTTGACATAATGAATAGTTTTGGATTGATACCTGGGCATTTTTATTATTATATAGTGGGACTTGGATCTTATTCTGTTTTAGCAGACCTCCTCTGATACTGCTCTGGTGGGGAAAGGAGGTGCCATCTTGTTAGCCAGGGAGGTAGCAGTTCCCCACTTGCCCTCTGCCGGCACCTAGAGGTTGGAGAACTTCCTCATTACTGCAGAGTGATTATAGTGTAGGCTGTCTAGTAGGCCTCCACTGATTTCCACCCTGGCTAGGAAGAGCATAGGAGTGCCTTGTTACTGCTCCTCACATGGTCTTCATTGACAGGATGGGAGAGGGGTATGGTTTCATTACTCAGGCAGTGGTGGGAGTCCTGACTCTCGATTAGGCCTCCCCTGACACCACCCCAGTGTCTCATTACTGTTGGGGAGAGGTCAAAATCCAGGATGCTGTCATGGTCTTTACTGAAACTGCAGTTAAAAGTGAGGGGATAGAGAAACACCCAGCAAAGGGATGTCAAAAGGAAGCCAGACTAGCAGTACTTAGACAAACTAGACTGTAACAAGAGACGAGGACATTATATAATAATAAAGGGGACAATCCAACAAGAAGATATAACAGTTATAAGTATTCATGCACCCAACATGGTAGCACCCAAATACATTAAACAGTTAATAACAAACGTAAAGGAATTAATGGGTAGTAATACGATAATAGTAGAGAACTTAAACACCCTACTTAACATCAATGGACAGATCATCCAAACAGAAAATCAGCATGGAAACAATGACACACTGGACAAGGTGAATTTAACAGGTATATTCAGAACATCCCATCCTAAAACAGCAGAATATATATTCAAGTGTACATGGAATACTCTCCACTACAGATCAAATATCAGGTCACAAAAGAAGTCTCAACAAATTAAACAAGATCTAAGTCACACCATTCATCTTTTCTTATTTTTTATTTTAATTCCTGATAGTTAACATACAGTGTTCTATTTGTTTCCGGTGTACAGTATTATGATTTGTCAATTCCATACATCATCTAGTGCTCATCACAACAATTGCACTCCTTAATCTCCATCACATATTTCACCCATCCCCCCCACCTCCCTTCTGGTAACCATCAGTTTGTTCTCTTTAGTTAACAGTCTATTTCTTACCTTGTCTCTCTTTCCCTTTGCTTGTCTCTTCTGTTTCATAAATTCCATATATGCGTGAAATCATATGGTATTTGTCTTTCTCTGACTTATTTCACTTAGCATTATAGTCTCTAATTCCATCCATGTCGTTGCAGTTGTCATGCAATTGTCATTATTTCGTTTCTTTTACTGGCTGAATAATATTTCATTGTGTGTATACATACATACCACTTCTTCTTTATCTATTTACAATTGATGTACACTTGTGCTGCTTCCGTATTTTAGCTATTGAAAATAATGATGCTATAAACATTGTGGTGCATGTATTCCTTTGAATTAGTGTTTTTGTATTCTTTGGGTAAATACCCAGTAGTGCAATTGCTGGGTCCTATGGAAGTTCTAATTTTAACTTTTTGAGGAACCTACCATACTGTTTTCTACAGTGGCTGCACCAATAGGCATTACCACCAACAGTTCAAGAGGGTTCCTTTTTCTCCACATTCTTGCCAACACTTGTTGTTTCTTGTGTTGTTGATTTTAGCCATTCTGACAGGCGTGAGGTGGTATCTCATTGTGGTTTTGATTTGCATTTCCCTGATG